TGAAATAAACTACAACGTAAACGCAAGAATAATACTCATAGTTTAAATAATAAAATCTAACAAAACAATCAGTTATGCCCATCTATCTCAACTAAGATCTCGAGATTCACTTATTTTCCTTATTTTCTTTATCAAATACTTTAAAATTTGAGCAATTGTAAAAATTGAGATTGATATTTGGATGGGAACGTAGAAGTTGATTCAACTGTAGATTTGGAGCAGGATCTGGTGAGACATCATGAAGTGGAATTGGTGAGATGTCGTTGATCACAGGTTGGGGAATACGATTACAGAGAGATGATGGTGATTTGTTGGCTTCTCTTGGAGTTGTTGTTCCCCGGCTGTGGCGGGGAAATTTAAATGCATTTGATTTTTTTTTTCTTTTGCAATTTGTTTTTTCTTCAGTGGGGGGGGCTCCGCCTTCGGTCGCCTTCGGCGGCCTCGTCTCCGACTCACGTGCCTCGTGCGCCTGTACTCCACCAGCGTTGAATTCAGCACTTCTCCGCCTTAGCACGTAATATACTATCACATTCATGATCATTTAAATGATCCATTTGGATGAACGTAAATGGGCCTGTGTAATTATTGGTTTTTGTCGGCTACAAGATTAAAGAGGATATCCGACCCATTGCCTTTTACATAGGTTCAATACATTTGACCGGATATGTACATAACATTTACCTCGGAGCAGACTGAATGCTTGCAACACTGAAATGAATGATTGAAGGACACTGGAACTTTGGCACCTTATTTAGTAATAACTTATTTTGTCCATCAAAGATATCAATATCTAGAAAACCAATGGGTTCAGAAAATAAAGTAAAGCAAAGTTTTTTCATTTACATGCTCAAGTTCTGCGAGAAAGGCCTCTTGATGAATTAAAAATATTCTTGTTACTCAAAAAATGAGAGTCAGGTTATTTAGTGAATGTCTCAGAAATTAGTGGAGTCGGTATAATTTGTTAAGAGACCTTTTTATAGATAATCTTACGAGCGACAGAAATGATTTTCTAATCAATTCCTCTAAGCATATTCATTTTCAAGATATTAATCAAATTGTCGAGTTCATATTTAGAGTTTTAAAATTTGAAACTTCAATTTGATCCATATTTTTTTAAAAGATCTTTTTTTATGAATAATTTCAAGATTGACAGAAATAATTTTCTCCGGAATTTTTCGTTTTTACGAGAAAATTGTTCTATGCGCGATATCTCACGAAAAAATTTTGATAGGATATTCAAATTTGGTGAGGTTGTATTCTACCCAACTCAATTTTTCATTATAATTTCGAGAATATTGAAAATTTTCTTACAATAAGCAGGCGGACATCTGAAATCTGCTTCTTCCTCGATTGTTATAGCACGGGCAAAATGTCTTGCGGCCGAAGCATCTCGAATCATCAGTTTACGCATTAGTTCACGGAGAAAATTCACCAACTAGTTATTGAACAACGAGTTGTTGAAATCCACCAACTGGTTGGTAATACATTTTTTTCAACAACTAGTTGAACTTCAATAACTAGTTTGTGAATTTTTTCCGTCTTTAACTCCCTTCAAATACAAAAGGAAATCCCCGCTCAATGTTAACCAATGGAAAATCCCGAACTCAACGCAGCCATTCAAGCCCACTACGCGGGCGCCGTATCCCCAAATCGGCCCGCAGCGTCGCTAGCTGTCGTGTCTGCCGCCTGGTTACTCATATATACCCTCCCTACAATGACACCAAATGACACAGACAATTGACGTAAATGTGTACACCTTCTCTATATGACCGAGTAGAAAATAGACCAGTGCATAAGGGGATACCATAGAGTACTTGTTGGATGTTAACTCGTGTCTTTGGTGAGATCACGAATGACACGGATCAGTTTTGTCTCTCGTTCATCTCCGCGAGATCAGTGAAATTTTGGAATTTGATGGATATCTGACAGTGACATGCCAGAATTGATAAGAGTATTATGGAGCTGGCTATGGAGGTGTTCAAATCATCCTGGTGGACAGTGAATTTTTAGGTAAAATGCATGTCTGAAGCTAATTTGTCGCATCAGGCACCACAACAACGAGTATGGAGGTGCTCAAAACGTCCCAGGAAATAGTTCACGAGGGCTGGCTCATCAAATCACCACCCACCAAACGCTGGCGAGCGGTGTGTATTACTCTGGTACATTCATTATTAACTCATTCATGCCCAGTCTTTCTTATGACACCCTATGATTATTACCCCTTGAATCACACCCATTAGTAACATTCCATTTTTAACAATCATCAGAATTCATTTCCTCCTGTCAAAGATGAAGTTCTAACCTCAATTCCCATTGTCTGTCATACATCCTGTTGCTATGGATTAATATTCGTGTAGATCATTTTGTCATTTTTCGTTCACAGAGATGGCGAAAACGGTGGTTCGCTCTGAGACACAGTGGAGAATTGCCTGGGCAGTATTTTCTGGAGTATTATACTGATCGAAGATGCAGGAAACTCAAGGGCCATATCGATCTTGATCAGTGTGAACAGGTAAATAATTAGTTAGTCTCTCATTTTTTGGCTGAAGAATTACTCTGCGATTATTGTTCAGCTTCAATGTGAAACAAGAATTTTGGAATATAATATGGCGGTTGTAATTTCTGTAAATGGACTTTAGAGTGGTAAAAAGTTAGCTTTATAGGTTTTCGTGTAATTTTGCATCTAACTTACACTTTTTTCACTGATTAATATTTGCTAAATTGACGATGGGAGTGGAACCAATTTGGATTTGATAAAAAGTTGGAACAATGGACTTTGGAGTGATAGGAAGTTCTTTTAATCGTCTTTGTCAGATCGCATGATATTAATGGCTGATAAAAGGTCCTTCACCTCGTTATGATTCAGAAGAAGCCTGATCATAGCTTCAAACACATAAGGGTAAATGAAAAAAACTCTTTCAGGGGGAAATGGCATAATGAAACAGGACAAGCAGATTCTCCTTATTTTATTTGACATTAGTAAAGTTTTCAGCGGTGAAACAAGACCCTCTTTTTTATCCATTTTTTGTGATGAATGTGAGAAAAATTATTGAAAAATCATTCCATTTATTTAGTCCTATTCCAATGGTTTTTATTTGATAACATTACCATTACAATCATTGTCATCGATAGCATTTTTAAGACACCAGGTTTTCAAGGTGGGGGTAGAACTGAATATTATTATGGTATCCAATTATTTTTATACAAAAATTTGTCACTGACCAAACAAGCGTTCACGTATGAAAAAATCCTATGGAGAATTCGAACATTCCCTATAGGATTTTTTATAGGACTCCCTATCAGGTTTTTCCTATTGGATTCTCTACAGAATGTCTCATAAGATTTCGTATAGGATATCCTATAAGATTTTCAATAGGATTTCCTATAAAATTTAGGGTCGTATAAGGGCCACCTAAGGGTCACATAGGGACATAGGGGGTCATATGGAGGTCATACGCTGTTTATATGGGGGTTGTATGAAGGTCATTTGATCCTCATTTAATACCTCTATAACCCTCATGTAACCCCTATATGACCTCGTATGACCCTTTATGACCCATACATCAATAGCGAAGCGGTAAACGGATTTAAGTCGACTTAGCTCTTCGGTGAGTTTTCGAGGAATATCTCCAAATCTAAGCGGAACCGTGAAAATTTCATGATAACCTTTTTTGTAGCACTCAATTCGCTTTACAAAAAAAGTTATTTCAAAAACTTTGCTATCTCCCGTAGGACTCGATCATTGCATTGTTGAGTCAATGAGATAGTACCAGAAATAAAAAATAATAATTGTACAACTTCATATAGACACAGGGGTTCCGTTTCACCTTAAACTAAGGAAATTCCGGAATACTTGACCATTAAGGCCCGGGTGTACTATCTTGCGAACGTTATCTCGATGTTTTTTGATCTTTCGTTATCTGAAATTGTCAATTAAGTCCTGCATGAAGTTTTGAAAAATTATGAATAAATAATGAAAAAAAAAGTAGAAATTTTTTTAAATTTTTTCAAAGAGCATTTTTAATTTATATTTAGAATAAGTTGAGTAACAAGAAATTGAAAAATGTATCTGATTTACAGTGACAAATGGCGGCCTGTCACCCAATATCATGCAGGGGGAAGATTGATTTCGTAAATCTTTTTCCACGCTGCACAGAGACATTTATTACGGAAAAGGCTCTTTGAAAAAAGTTGTAATATTTTGGAGAATTTTTTAATCACACTTTTATCACATAAAAATGGCAGATGACTACATACCACTGTTTCGAAAATTGAGATACCTAGCTGTCACTTCCCATGAAAAATGCTCTTTGAAAAAGTTCAGAGGTTTTTCTTTTTTTTTTATCATTCTATCATAATTTTTGAGAATTCCTACATGATGTACCACTCAATTGACAATTTTGGACTACGAAAGATGAAAAAAACCCAGATAACATTCGAAAGATAGTACACCCGGGCCTTAATTCAACATTATTCAAGTCAAAGTGTCAGGTGATTGAGTTTGATTAACAAATAATTTATGAACATGAATACATTAATGTTGAAGTAGGAAAAATCATCAATCCAAGGGTGAGAAAGGGATAGTTGCCGAATTTACTACGATAATAAAGTGTTATGAATAATCTATGGGACGGTTGGGTGCAATTTCTCAGGAGATATAGCCCGACAACCATTCTTCGTCGTGGTATTGCTTTCATGTGTCTTTCTTTGATTGTTATTATGCGCAAATCACTCCTGCTGATATTCTTTGGTTTTTATCCTGCATTCCACTCATCATGTACATTCATAATTCCTTACAATTAGCAATACCATCCAAAACTCATTAGTGGTCTACAAAGAGAAGGCTTCTCCCCACCTTATAGGATCGAAGAATTTTTGAAAGCCTTAGATAGAAAGATTATTCTACTAATTGACTCGCTTTTCACTTCATGTAAACTGAAAATTTAAGGGCATTGTAAGAATTACCAAATTTTAGATTGATGCGCAAACAATTTAGATATACATTTTTGTAATCTTTTTTAGCAGAGTAAACCATTTGGTTTCGATGCATTAATAAAGAGAAAAAAAATCCTTGCAACTCTTCAATCAGCAAGTCATCATCGATCAAACAATTTTAGAATATGGAAAAAATAGTCTTTTTCAGATAAATGAAAAAAACAGCACGTTTTCGAGGAACTTGAGGACTTAGATAATACCTCAACGGTTTCCATTTTAGTGCTGCCTCGAGAAGTGCGAAATTCCTAAGCATTGATTTTTAAATAGCACAGTAGTAAAGTATTTTTAATCTTCTTTCGTAGCCTCTAAGGTATTAGTTGCTAATGGCAAGGTTTTCATCTTATTATAGTAACAAATAGTAGTCACTAATGCCTACGAAATGAAGGAAAGATGTTGAATGAATTGTTCCTACGAAATTCTTGCACAAGGCTCCAATACACTTGAGCGGATGCAAAACAAACAAATCGACAATTATATTTGTTATAAATGAGTATAGTTATTGTTGCTAATAAATTAACAATTTACTTCCGAATAAGTTCCCATTTTTAAATTCAGTAGCGAAGCGGTAAACCGGGTTAAGTCGATTTCGAGTAGTGGTCAGTTTTTAACGAATATCTCGGAATCTAAAAGAGATGTCCTAGTGCTATTATCGATTGAAATGTCATCATAATTTTGCGTACTATTTCGTTCTGTTGAATGATTCTATATTCAGATCTCAAGAATCCAATTCATCTTCAGTCCGGGTTTAATTAAGGTTTAATCAGGATTTAGCCAGAGTTTAACCGAGGTTCTGTCAGAAGTTAGTCGGGACCATGAATCAATACTCGACTAGTACCTGACTTTAACAGAGATAGAGATTTTGATATAAAAGGCTCATGACGGTATTGCGTAACTTGATAAGCAATGCTGCTGTTCTCACCATTCTTCAACTTAATGATGAAGATATGGAAATATACGTTTTAAGCCCTGATTTAATTGCTATTATTAATAATTCATTCAGTAATCAGCAAAAACCCGATTTTCTTCTTCAAATCGCATAAACAATGTGCTGTACGACCCCATATCATATTCTGATAAAATCAAGGGTATTGTTATAAATTTTTTGAGCCGTGACTAACTTCATCTTGATAAAAATTTTTTGAGTGATCGTTGAAAAATCGATTTTTAGAAAAATATCAATTTTTTCCAATCTGAATGAAAAATTGAATTTTAATTGGTGTCACTGAATAGAGCTTTTCAAAGACTATAATAATAATATTTATTCAGCATGTATACCCTTTCGGGCTTTTACATTTTGTACCCCTCCCTGTTTCCCCTGATATAAAATACAAAGTTATACAGAGTTATAAAGTTTACAGGTTTATACATTTTCTTAGACTAGCGTAAAGCTTTACCTTTTCAAAGACTATATTCATGAAAAAATTCATGAAATTTGATTGATCCCTTTTAAGAACATTTCGAAAAAGACGAAAAAATACGCACACATATACAGACACCATTTAAAAATCGCAAATCGGATTTTTTAGACCATATTTAGTGAGCCTGACACAAAAAATGGAAAACTTGAATTTAAGCAATTACAATGCTTCCATTCGGAACTAAAAGAAAATTAATTGACTCAATTTCAAAACTATTGATGTGGAGTTCATTTATTGTAGGGAGAGTACAGGAAAGTGGATCCTATGAAATTTTTTCAATGCTCATAACTGAAGAATAAATTTACCAAAATCTGTCTTATGTTGTTTTAGCAAACACGGACCTTTCGGCAGAATGTCATGTTGAATCTTTCAAATTATCCATTATTTATTCCATTTTCTTATTTTCACTTGTGGCAGTAAGAAAATGTCACTGCGATTTATACAACCCCAAATTTTGAATTTCAAACTGTCCTGAACAGGTCGATGCTGGTCTAAGATTTGAAAATCGCAAACAAAAGTACCAGTACATGTTCAACGTGAAAACACCAAAGAGAATCTACTACTTGGTAGCAGAATCCGAGGCAGACATGAACAAATGGGTGGACGCAGTCTGTCAAGTTTGTGGCCTAAAAGCCTACACCCAAGACGAAGAACAGCAGCTCTTCCCCTTCGAATCTCAAGAATCTCCACCGATATCTCCAACGAGCACCATCTCAGGCCCCTACATACCAATAAGTGAGTGCATATCAGGAAAGAGATTGAACGACACGAGCTCTCTAAGTTCAGGAATGGGTCAGGGGCCAGAGCACTATGACGCGCCGCGTAGACTAGCCCCATCTCCACCACGATCACCAACGACAACAGACGCTGAGAGTGTTTTTACTGATGACGAGTGGACAGCGCCAGTTCCAAGTGTCAATTGGGAAACATTCCCCTCTTCAGGAGATTCGAGACCATCGCAAAGCTCTGGAGACGCTGAAATAGGCTCGTGGAGTGTGAGAAAACGTTTTGGAAAGTTGAGAATTGTGGATTCAGCTGCTCCACCACCTGAGGAGACATTTCCAGTGCCTCCAAGACCGCCTAAACCTCTTCACATGCTTCCAGAAAATCCTGGGCACAATTATTTGAATTTGGATGGCTCCACTGAGAGTTCAAAACCGAATACTCCAGCGACTCCTGGCACTTCAGCACCTTCCACCCCTGCAACTGCACTGATCACTGACGAAACCTACGATTTCCCTCGATCTCATCAACCTGGAACCAGTGAAGCCACTGGGATCTCTGGTAGACCTCCAAGACACTGCTACAGCAATGCTGCTCCATCGGCTGTCGATGATAGAATCTTTCGATACGATTTCCATGACGATGAGCCCTCTAGTCCACACTCTGAGAGTTCTACCACAGCAACTTACTCAAATCTTCCCAGTCCACTTATCAGGGATTCTTCGAGTACTGCTGCCAGTGCTGGTATTCAACCACCAGTTGTTTATAGGCAGTTGAAGCCTGGGAGAAAGACCAGTGATTCTACTTCGATTATCAGTAATGAACCATCTCCAGGACCCATTCTCAATATGCCGGATATGAGTTCTGCTGAACATTCACCTGCTGAACCACCCTGCATCAATCGCAAGTTGAAGCCTACCTCGAGCAAACCTGTTGTTGATGGTAATGTACTTTGTTGTCAATTCTATTCGTATTTACGATTACATGTGAAAATGACACACGTAAATATTAACACAAATTCAACACTAAAAAATCAAGACACACATTCAACATAATTTCATTTCTCAGGGCAGTTTCTCAGGGCATTTCTCGGGCGGAAAGTCTTGACTTTCCGCCTGCAAAGGAAAATTCGTATTTTGCTCTTTGATGAGCGAGAGGAAAGTATGAATTTTCCGTGCAGGGGTTTTTTTGAAATTTTTTTTGAATCGGTTCAGTCGTTCAGAAGATATCGTTGGACGAAGTTTTTCGTCACATGCGTACACACACACGCACACAGACATGAGACCATGAAATGTAAAGAAATCATGGAAATTCCACATTCAATTTTCGGAGTCATTACAATAATTTTCTCCCTTCGGGTCGGGAAGTTAAAAATATTACAGACAATCCGTAGTTGCATATTCTAATGATTTCTCTTTATCCAGCGGGTCCTCTGCAATTAGCATCGCCGCCAGGGAGAGGGAGACTGCGAGCAGCCCCCAGTCCAACACCACCTTCCCATGGCCATGGTAACAGACATCACTCCACCTCCGACGAGGACAACAATATGCAGGACGACAGAGAGGAAATTTATTACTACCAGGATCACAACACTTTCATCCCTGCATCCAATCGACGTTTGGTGGTCCTTCAGTACCTTGACCTGGATCTCGGTGCAACTGAAAATTTTGCGAATGCAGCATTGCCACCAGCTCAGTCACCACCAAACTCAACTGTCTACAAAACTGTTGACTTTTTGAAAACTGAGGCTTTCAATCGCACGAGACAGCGTGTGGAGGAGGAGAGGAAACGCACAGACGAAATGTCGTAGACCATTGCTTATATCCTATTGCTCCTTTCTCTTCCAAAATCGTAGTATTTTCTCCAGAAACACAATACAAATTTGATGAATGCATTGGATTTTGTTCGATTGTACTGGATATGCCTTTCTCTCCATTACTTGGAACGTCATAATTTTACGGAAATTGTATAGCAACATTTTCTACTGGACCAAAAATCGTATTTTTAAGATACGGAGATGTGATAGAGTTGGACAGAGCGAATGCATTTTTCACGAGCTTTTGTGAGTGCTCTTCTAAGAGTATTCTTTCCTTTACATAACTCGAAATTCGAATCATATTGAAAATCTGTAGTAGTGGATTTTCCAATATTCTGCAACGAATTTTTTTTTAGATGAATGTACTAGATTTTTGCCGATATGAAGTAGTTGAAGAGTTCCGCTGGGAAAACTATTTTATAATGGAGGGGTGAAATGTAATTAATCAAGGTTAACATGTTTGTTGATTGCTGATCCATCACCGAAACGAGCTGTTCTTCAGCTTTTTCAGTTCATATGGAGGAACTCCTCGCGAAAAAATCTCTTCACTCTTTTTTCCTATAATGTAAATAATTGGGCCTTCGTGTAGAAATTTTTTATTGTTGCAAATGAAAGTGGATGGAAGATGTTATATGAATATTTTTTTTTATTTTAATGAATAATGAAGCAAGAGAAAGTTTAATTATTTATCGAGAATACAAATTCGTTTTGTGAGTAACTACGAATTCCCGATTTTTGTTTCTTTCATGAAAAAAAAATCGTAAATAATATTCTTTATTCAATTTTCGTATTTCAGAATTTTTTTCATTGAAAAGAAATTGTGGAATAATGCAATTTCATACTAATAAATAGTAAAAAAAAAATTGACCTCTCACGTTTTATGACTTTTAGCCGGAATTCTCGACTCATTCTAGATACTGTTTCTTTTCAATTTCGTTCGGAGAAACAGAAGCCATGAATCCACTGATATTGACTGTAATACACAGGGAAGAAATATATGAAAAAGGAATCGGATGATAGAATCGCGTGGAGAATACGATAGTTTTTTTCGTGATTAGAGTGCGCAATTATCAACTTCTGTTTATCACGTAAGGAGAATTTTTATGCCATCATTATGTATATAAACTAAAGCAGATATATATCTAAATTTTTATGCATATTGAACATAATTAGCATGCGATATACACATGTATATAGGAATATCTACGTTTATAAATTTATCTATAGGATGTATAATTTTATTTTTATAATAGCAGTCTTTGTATTAGACCGACGAATTATCAAATTTTTCGGTGTTTGGCATTACGATTTCGCATGACATATCGAATAAATCGATGTTTGACGATCATGAGAATATGACTCATCAACTGAGAAAGAGTTGAATTGTACATTTAACATTTTTTACAACAGCTGTTTATTGATTGTAAATATGGATAAATTAGAATGAATGTACATTCGATAATTGGCGATTGAACCACACTCAATATACAATTGAATTTTCTTTTCAAGGAGTTGATGTAAAGATGATTGTTTCTCGTTTTGTTTGTATTTTCGATTAAAAATGATGTTGGAAAATTGAAATTTATTCTCAGATATTTTATATAAAAATACGAAATGTTTACTAGACTATTTTTAATGAACTATTTTTAATGTTTTACTAGACTATTTTTAATGAACTAATTTTTTTTAATAACTTGGGGTGATTTACTAACTGCAACGGTTCTCTTTATTTTGCTCATTAGTCAATACTGGTTGTTTTATGTGTAGCATACTGCTATTGAATTGAAAAATCTTTAATTTTATTTGATTTTTGAAGGAAGAAAGAACATAAGAATTGCAGGAGCAATTGCATAAACTTCTGCATTACCAAATACGTTGTACATCCGATTATCAACGAATTGCTTTAAACTGCGAGTGTACCTATATTATTGTCATATTAATGATTAATCACAGTAGATCAATTATGGATAGGAGGCAATTAGCGTGAGAGCACGAGAGACAAAATATTGAAGAAACAATAGGTACTGAATAGCACATATCTAAAATGAACTAACGTACAAATACAATGGAAAATATTCATTACTTGTGAGAAATGTTCTATTGTATGAGATTGTATTTTATAAAATCCAGCAATGCATTTGTTTTTCGATTGAATGGATTGAACAGTAGTTGGCGATTTGATTATCCATTTTTAAATAATTTGTAATTAGTGAATAGATACTGTATTATACATATTAATAAATTGAAAACAAATTTATACAGTTAAGAAAGTGAGGTTTTTGTTGATTCACCTGAAATAACTATTATATGTTTTCTTCTGCATTTTCTCATAATGCCATCGTCGAAACGAAATTGATTCGACAAAAACCTTCTCATTTTATTTCACATGATTGAATTTCTAAAAAATTGTAGCACAGATTTTGTTGTAACTCTTTATAAAGCCCCAACATGGTAATCCATAATTAGATTTTCGGCAGTAATACAGGATTTTGAATTTTGCGAAATTTCATAGATTCCGAATTTTTTAGAAATTTCCGAAAAAACATTTTTTTTCGCAAATTTCTTGAGTGTCCATATTGCCCCACCCTTCCCTAAGAATAGTCAGTTGCATCCGTTAATTTCTTAGTTGTAAAAGGAGGAGAACAAGCGGAGTTTCTTAGTCGATGCAACCCTTTGTTTCTTTGGATATCTCAATTCGAGCAATGCCATAAGATATGATCAAAGTCTTGAGACTCCGCACCACAAATCACAAGAGCAGCTCGGGTAGTTAATGATACCAATTCTATGCAAAGAGGCTCCAAGATGATGATGGTTTGCTCTGATGCGATTTACGCTTATAATAGCTTCTCTGGATACCACTGACATTTTACATTTGGTTTACATTTTTTCTACCAGGGCTTTGGAGACTTTTTAAAGTACAGTCCAAAGTATTTGGCACCTTTTTTCTTATTATTACTTGTGGCTTGAGTCAGGATTTTATTTGTCGTGCTCTTGGTTTCGTCGGATTTAAAATAATTTCTGAAGTCTGAATATGGAACGAGAAATTGGTCAGATATATCATCTGTCGCATTACACTCAGAAAAAAAATTACTTTTGCCGAGTAAATTTACTAACTACACGAAAATCCACACATTTCAAATGCAAATATTTATACATATATATTTACTGGTGACAAGTAAATTTACTTGGCAGAAGTAATTTTTTCCTCAGTGTAGCCGCTAAACTGTCAGTCTTTATTTCCCTCATAATACCACAATGTGAAGGAATCCATAAGAATTTTATTTCGGTTACTGGTCTACGTTGTAAGAAATCTGATACTAAAAACGGCTTTGCCAGCGCAAAACGATCGATTTATCGTTGAACTTTCGGGCAAATTTTCAAGGTTTTCTATTCCTCCATCAAATATTCCTATTTATCCTCGATGAATGCGTCACATCCTAAAAACTATCCAACGAAAAACAATATCACTGTTCAAATTAATTAAGACATTAATACAGGAATAAGCAACAAATTCATTGATTAACTGTTTCTTGGAACTTTCGGTAACCCTCAATGTCAATGTTATGAATTCCGTCGTCAAGTAGTCCTTTCCCGCAACAAACACCCCTATCGGTTGCTAAGGAATTGACATGCAGTTGCTAGTGCAGAGTTTCATCACATTGCAACGTCGATGCATTGTGTGTACAAGCGTGAACGGAATATCTTTATATGAATGGACTACAGAAGAAGACCTGAAGACCGTAAATCAAGTAGAGATTACCTCCATCACGAGAGAACACCGACTCACAGGTCCACCACTGAATCACCCATTCCTCAAAACACTCCGGAAATAATACCGAGGCCTAAATCGAGATACTCAAACAGACGATCCTCTCACCACTCTAGGAAGAGCTTCCAGAATGACAGTGATAGTGAGGAAGATAATAACGAGGCTGCGATCCCCGAGTACATCGGAGGAGGCTCAACTGATCCAGAAAGAACAGACGAGAATCCTGCCGATCGTTCTAATCTCACAGGTAAGATCGAGGAGAGCCATGAAACTCCACCGAAACAAATCAAACGTAGAAAATCGAAAAGACGAATCCACAGCGAAGAAAAGGGTGTTTCGAAGGCTGGGGAAGGCCATGAAGAGAACCCTGACGAGGATAGGGATCCTCTGAAGTCAAAGAGGGCGTCGAGGACTCAAACTGATAGTAGCGCTAGCGCTGGTAGCAAGAGGAAGAAAAAGCGAAAGGCTCGTGGCAAAGGTATGTCCCAAATGAATAGGGGAGGATGGGGCAATATGGACATCTGGGGTAAAATGGACATTCAAAAAATTTGCGAAAAAGAATGTTTTTTTTTTTCAAAATTCAAATTTTTGAAAATTGTTTCATTAGGCAATATGGACATTGATGAATCCGTAGAGGGTGGACTAAAATGGATGCTCAAAATTTTTTCAATAATCGAATTGAAAAAAATTGATTCTTGGTAAAATCCACAACCGAAAAATGATTCAAGCAGAGTGGGGTAAAATGGCCGCACGAAAAAGTTGGTCCTATTGAACTTTTAATTAAGAAAATTTTCAACAGACATTTTCCAACAGAATCGCACGTATGAAAAAATGCTCGAAATCCTATGGAAAATTCGAACATTTCCTATAGGATTTTTCTGATAGGATTTCCTATCGGATTTCCCACAGGATTTCCTATAGGATTCCCTATAGAATTTCCTATCAGATTTATGACCTTAATCCTGACCCTTGTGACCGATTGGTTTCGAGTCTCAATCTTGTATTACTTTTTGTAGAAAACCCTATAGTGAATTCTATAGGAAATCCTATAGAAAATCCGATAGGAAATCCTATAGGAAATGCCACCAGACAAATCCTATAGGAAATGTTCGAATTCTCCACAGGATTTCCTATAGGAAATCCCATAGGATTTTTTCGTACGTGCGTGTCGTTATCTTTTAATAGAGAGAAATTAGAGTTGGAAGAGATATTAACAAATAAACTCCAAGTCCATTAAATTTTGCATTGACATATCGAAAAGCTCGAAAACTCCCATGTAATTTTGCTATTTTGTGACAGGTGAGGAATCATGTAATTTACCTGAGATAATTTACTTGCTTAACCCTGCACGGAAAAAAATAAATCGGTAAAAGTCTTGCGATCACAAGGAATTTCCCGAAGATTCCAAAAAGCTTCGTTGTTCTTCGTGCATGAAAAATGGGGATCTTCGGGAAACTCCTTGCGATCGCAAGACTTTTACCGATTTATTTTTATCCGTGTGTCTGTTGGAAATGGAGAAATAATTAGCTTCATTAACATTGAACAAGAATGGCTCTCATGTTATACCCATGCAGTTGGTACTTGAACTTAGGGAACTGCTCACCAATTGTATGTCAAATAAATTCACTAATTTTGCTGTACTCCATTTCGCCAAAAATAAAGCTGAACCTCTATGAGTACAACAAACCTCAATATTCGCATCTACATGGTAGCTTATTTTCTAATGAATAACTTGAAATATTGAATAATTTGAATTGGCCGTGAGAATACAACATACAACTTCAGTGATCCGCCGTGATGCTTTTCCGAGTGTACTGAAGAAATTTTTAATTAAGTGAGATATTGGGAATATTTAATGGGAGAAACTCGGGATCGAATGATAGGTCTAAATTCCATCCTTTTACTGATATTTTTCCCGAAGCGATTGGTATAGGGGTTATACAGTAAAAGCTACTGAGAATTGTGAATTGTTTTTCTGATTTGCCAGGGAAATTGTGATAAAATGAGTAAAAATCTGATGTGTTTCAATACTACACAATTCTGAATGAGATTTTTACTAATTTTACTAAGTTTCTAAACTATAAATTCTTCGAGTTTATTGTGATCTCTCTCCAAATCTCCTTCACCATTCACTCAAGATAATTCTCTTACTGTTAGACGATTCCACTAATGCCCGAGATGAATTACCGATTACGGAGATACTGAGGAAATCCCAGGAGAATGCCCGATTGCAGTATGAAGAATCAGCGCCTCTTCCGCAGTTAACTACAGATACGGTTTATGTGCAAGGAAGAAATGGCTTCAGCGCAGTCAAGATTCCTGGAGATCGTATTGCCCGAGGTCGACGGGATCCTGATGCTGGGGGAGCTATTACACATCCGATAAAAGTTGCGATATTGGCGCAAAAGGCCTGGCGGAACGCAGGACTAATTTATCAAGGTCTTCTTGCGGGAATGGCACTTATGCACTTTCTTTTTGTGAGTGTAGGAAAACCATCTCAGTGTTTACATTTATTACGAATCAGGGTAGTTGGAGGAGTAATTTCAAGTTTACCGCGTGATTTTTTTACAGATGCAAACGTTTTCTGGACTGTTTCGAGAATCGTTTATCGATTATTCGATGATGGGGGAGATTTATACGAATCTGTTTTCATTTCTCGTAGCTATGAGCATGGTCTCTGCGTTTGATAAGTAAGTTCGATTACTCTAAAGATGTGTGGGCAATACACTCAATTTGTAAACTAGCAGGGTTGGGAACTTATTCAACCGAAGCCATGTGACCGTTACTTTATGCGTTATTAGTCCTTTTCTTTCTCTCTCTACCAATTCCATTGGTAATAAGCTTCCGAATGGGTCTGTAGCAATGGTTCTAGGATAAATGTTCTCCTGAAAATCGTTCTTGGAAAAATGTTCAACATATTTTCTTTTTCCATGCTGATTCCCGGTGTCATCGTGATTTAATCAAATATTACATAATATAAAATAGAAAAGAGGATAAATTTTTATTATATGACTTAAGTCAATCTGGGTGCTTTATCTCTCGAGTTGTGTGAAGACGGATTCGTATATGAATGCGCCTCCAGTCATGGATCTCCTGTACGATTACTCGTTCACATCCCAAGCCTTCTTCACTCCAATAAAAAATAAGCCCCCCAGAGGCGAAAATAATCGACAAAATGACGATGTGTGGCTTTTTAGAAAACAAGATTTTTGGATGAATTGCTCTATACCAGGTTGTATTGAATCGGTCGACACAGAATTTTATACCCAAGCCAAACGGCGAAAATTATGGAGGAACATTGCCTACATGTCTTATGATAATTAACTGAAAATCTGAAGACGGTCAGCTAATGCTGTATTTATCGAAAAAGAAGAGAGTGGGGGAGTTTTAGTCCTCCATTGGCCGAGGCGCACCTCAAGATTGGGTTAGGTCGGCCCGAGCCATTCTGTGATTGGTTCAACACTCGACCGTTTGTGTGAAGTCATTAGCGATTTCAAAGCATTTGAAATGTTCAAATTTTTTCAACAATTATCAACTTTTATTAACAGTTAGTTATTAATTAATGTGCGGTATTTCGAACGTTTGTGAATGAAAAATGAATTATTTTTGTCCCAAAGTTGAGATTAGAAAATTGAAAACAAATTCATGCAAGTTCTCTGTTAACCAAATTAAGATCCTCGTCAGGTAATGGTTAGAATTCAAAACATTTTGGATGCTATTGCCCATACATTCAATACTCCTGTGAAAATCCATTCCATTGAAAAATATTGTGATGACTTTCTTCATTTTGTATTACAGGTTTGATTTAGCACGTTTGGAGTGGGACCACTTCAGAGAAATCTATATGTATCATTGTAAATCATTTCTAGCGATTCCCTTGTATATTACTGTCTTCTGCCTGCATCAAGTGACTCTAAAGTTTGATGACAAATTAACGTTATTGCATTATCAAGAGAGCAACGAAACGGGGATGGTTGATGTAAGACCATATTCATCTTTTTTTATCTTTCCTTTTTTATGTTATGGAAGAGCATGTCTTGAATTGGGAATAATATTCCCAATTGAAAAAAATTTAGATCGTTAAAGCAATCAAGAAAAGACAAATGCATCAATAAGGCTTTGGTACCTGATTTTATTATCAAAAACATAGGTTTTATTTTAGAATATTTGCAGTCTCATGGATGATGTTTTGAGGATGTTTATCTGAAAATGCAAGCACTCAGAAAAAAATCATTTTTGTTTTCAACTGATAGACAGAGTTATGTGTTTCATGTTGATAAGAAATTCGGGTATCTTTTTCATAGCTCTCATTCTGTTCGAGAAAAAAAGATCTCATAATGAAAATTTAAAAATCAAGTTTAAAATTAATTTTAAAATTCAATCAATTAAAAACCAATCAATATCACTAAAAAGGGGAAATCTATAGCGGATACTATTACAGGATACTGTTAGATAAGGTTTGTGACCCTCGTCACCCTTCACAGGATACTGTTAGATAAGATTTGTGAAAAGAATGAATAGTCTCGACCGAGAATCAAACAATGGGATTACACTTTTCAGATCCATGTGACAATTAAATTTTTGGAAAATCAGGCAACTATTTTTCATCATTCCTGATTTATCGAGAATTCACTTGAATGTGATGAACGATTTTCAAAATCGATGATTGCTCTTAAATGAAAACCTCAATTTTATGAACTCTCCGACACACAAAGAGGAAGTTACTGCAATTGTCCCGAAAATCGAATGTGGTATTCAAAAAGACTCAGCGCGCTTTTTGAATTATTCGCAAGGAATGTGTAATATAAAAAAAACATGAATTAATATGAAAAACCGCATGAGAACTGGTAACTTTTTACAAACTCACCGATTCTTTCTAAAAAATAATAGAATTAAATTTATTTCTTTTTACCAGAAAATGCATTCTAATATAACTCGTGATTAACTGAATTTCAATGAAAATCGCCACAGCAGTTATTCATTTATTTGGATAAAACTTAAAATTGGTGTTTTTTTGTCTAATGCATGAAGTTTACTTCATTTCCTTTAGGAAATTAGGAAGTTATTTGGTTCAACCCGTGATGGGTCACAACTACTCCAATCCACTCGCAATGGAAATTTTTGAATTTTCAAGATGAACGAGAAATTTCATGAACTATTTGACAAGAGTCGTACAAAATTTGCGACGGGTCATATGACCGTCACACAACAGATGCAAATACGACAATTTTTCCACATGACCAGATTCTCGACTGACCGTTATGTTCCATATAAATAGTTACTTTCGATTTCCGTCTTTCCCATTTGATCCTTCAAAATATTCCGCCAGTTTCTCCCACTCCTTAATTTTATGACGTATTTTGTAGACTGAAAATTTTAATATTCTGTTAGCGCTGGCGAGATAAACGGGCTGGACACGAAAATGCCCAAAATTACACGATAATTGAAAGTAGATAGTTTCAGCGAGGCCATTTTTGTCATGTTTGATCCGGAATCCCGAAAAAAATAGACCAAGAGCAATTTTTAAGTTGGACGGGTTTTAGCACGTTTTAGATGTGTGGGCTATTTTTTCCTGGTCTATTTTTTCCGCCTACCAGACCCTGACACTTTCCTATTACTCGTTAGTGAGGAATAATTTATTTGAATAGACCTCCAATGGACGCTTTCAGACAGGTTTAGTTGAAGGTTTCTAACAAAGAATCCCGGGAAAAATAGAACAAGGGAAATTTTTAAGTTGGGTGGGTTTTAGCACGTTTTGGGTGTGTGGGCTATTTTTTCCTAGTCTATTTTTTCTGCTTACCCCTAACAATTCTTCAATAACTCAAACAGGAGCTAAATCCACGTATTATCCTTTAACACTTCACCGCTGCATTGATATTTCAGCCCGCTGTCTTCACGTTTGTGTCTAAATACTCATATTTTATGTAATTTTCCAGGGAAATAGTACCGTAACTATCACTTCCGGAGAATTGAACACCTGGAAAACGATAACCGTTACCAAGAACGGATTAGCAGTCCTAGCTTGGCTATTCATAGCCCTGGGCCCCCAAAAAGACATGCTCCTAGTTCATCTCCAGGCTCTCCAGAAATACGCTTACAATTAGCTGGTATTTAGGAACATTAAAAATGAATAAATAAATAAATAAGTAAAACGTGAACATGATCAGTTATTATTCATCGTCCAAAAATCCATATATCTCGAAATGCACGGTATAAATAACTATGATACAAAGGACTAACAGTAATTTCAAATGTAAAGAATAGAAGATCGATGGTGTGTGTCTAAAAACGAATAATTAGCGCAAAAAAATGAATTGTTTATTGTTCGTTTGCTGCGCAGATGCTTAAAATGTTAAAAATAGTCCGAGATCTCCAATTTTTGAGCTACCGAGGTTTTTTTTCAAAATTTTTGAGAAAATGTATGCAATAACAATTACGAATTAGTTTTTTGAAATTTAACTCCTACACAGCTAATTTCTTTTTTTTTATAGAAAATTGGACCATTCATATAAAATACTTGAAAAATGTTTCTGAAAAAATCGAGAATATATTTTAAATATTTTAACGATAATTTTTCTGCCTATTGTAAATGAACGGCGCAAATGTTTATATTAAACAAAACGAAATTAGCTGTTTAGGAGTCGAATGTAAAAAAACTAATTCGTAATTATTATTATTATTACTTCATAATAATCCGATAAAATTTTTAGTCTCCAATTCTCAATTTCTGTCATTTATTCTATTCATTCTATCAAAATACATGCATAGAAATGGAATTTATGGGTATTCTTTCATTATTAAAAAAAAATCGATTTTAAAACTCGGAGACATTGAACAATCAATTTTTCTAGTTCTTTCCGCCCACTTTTTTTTGCATTTTTTCAATTTCTTCTCGCTGAAATATTGATATCCCTCTAATACTTAAATAAAAAAAGTGATTCGAAGTTCCCGGCAAATTAAAAGAAGAAAAACAAGTAGGCGACTGCTACGGAAGCCCGGTCGTGCCATCGAGCGGAGAGAGTGTGAAACCCAGGTGCATTTTGAGTTACTGACATAGTCCGTCGTAATCTTGGCTTGGTGGGCTTGGTTGGCTTGGCTTGGCTTGATGCTGCCCGATCCTATTTGATGGACAATAGTAGCGAAGGACATCACGATAAATATTTCGAAATAAATCCCGAGAATTGTTTTACAACAGAAGGACTTAATGAGCAGAAGCAACGTCGTTCTTTATCCAAAGGTATGTAAAGATATAATTTCACAAATTATTCATGATTATGAGGTGTACGTATACACCATAACCTTCAAACTAATAAGATTTTATGAAATCATTCGCATCAAAATACTCTGATCACAAAAAAAAATCGAATGTAGCATGTGACATGCTTATTGTTTACGCAATAATCTCAGTTATTATTGGGTTTGGGGGAATTTCTGGAGAGAAACATTTTCTGAGGGCATGTAGTTCTCTACCATGGATGGGCCCTTGTACAGAACCATGTGCTCCCCAGAAAATGTCTTTTAACATTTTTAGATGAACCGAAGGGGACCTCAAACANATGAAATCATTCGCATCAAAATACTCTGATCACAAAAAAAAATCGAATGTAGCATGTGACATGCTTATTGTTTACGCAATAATCTCAGTTATTATTGGGTTTGGGGGGAATTTCTGGAGAGAAACATTTTCTGGGGGCATGTAGTTCTCTACCATGGATGGGCCCTTGTACAGAACCATGTGCTCCCCAGAAAATGTCTTTTAACATTTTTAGATGAACCGAAGGGGACCTCAAACATTTGCCAAATGAAAAGGGACTAAATATTCCATTGAAAGAAAAAAATTAAAATCTCTTTATCTCTTATCATTACTGAATTATCTCAGTAATTATTGGGTTTTGGGGAGAATTCCTGAAGACATTCCTTGTAGAGCATCATGTGCTCGCCAAAAAATGTCTTTTAACATTTTTAGATGAACCGAAGGGGACCCCAAATATTTTCCAAATGAAAAGGTTCTCTACACGTTCACATGGTAAAAAAGTAAAAAATTCCATGTTTGTTATTTCTGTAATTAAGTCGGTTGTTATTGGATTTGTGAGAAAATTCCTTCTGAAATTTTTTTGAAGTCTGCAATTTTGTATTCTTTCCAGATGGACGAAGTTTTGGTTACTCACTTCGGAGAGAAGATTGCACTCCCAGTGAATTCTAATGGGAATTTAAACCTGAACGATCTCCAACACTATTTCCCAGCAGCTCAAAATTTGCTATATATTGATGATAAGGGAAATGCGTGTGGGTTACGTATTGTGGACGGAGAAATTCTGCTTAATCCCAACATCAAACGTTATGAGGTGCGTATTAGACCTAACCCTTGTGGACCTCAACTGCAAAAAAAGAAACGAATCGTAGAACTTGTAAAGGAGTTGAGAGACACAAGCGGGTTGAAATCAGCTAAAAAAAGGAAAGCAAATGATCCCAACGACTCCCCTCCAGCTTTAACGAATCGTCCATCTGGACGTCCAGCATCTGCAGCAGTGAATCTGCAGTTGGGTAGATTCCACAAATTCCAGGGTCAAAGTACTCCTACCCAAATCAAATCTCCTTTTAATGGACTGGCCACTATTGCACTGAGCAGATCGTCAGAATATCTTGCTGAGGACATTTATCGATTGGGCCAAGCTGCTTTTGCTGATGGCAATGCTTGGAATTCAGATGACAATACGTTCTCCATTGGAACATTCAGGGAGAATTTCATGATGGGTTTCAAAGACGGACAGAATCAAACGTGCGATTTCTGGAAGTACGTTGGAGATTCAAAATTCAACATCTCCAAAAGCAGACTATATTTATATAGTGAACCCAAAGACGATATTTCAAAAGGAGGGAGTTCTCCAGAGCCATCTCCAGTGATTCCCAAGAGAAATCACTACTCGAAGAATTCCACAGCAGCATCGAGCTCTGTTCCAAAAGAACAAATGAAAAAACAACAGAAGAAATCCAGGCCATTGACTTTTGCACTGCTAACTGAGATGACAGGGATCGTTGATGGTGTTGTCAGTTCTAATCCACCGGGGTCTTCAGTTCGTCCATCTCGAGATGAGATAACAGTTACTACTTCTCTGGGAGACACGATTGCTTCGCGTGCTCTTGAGGCGTCTTCGAGTTCACAACACCCCAAGTCTTCAGTATCTCGATCGTTTCCGACGGTCTGTGCCGTCCACCAACCTTCCAGCTGGTCTCGGACGTCGCAACAAGAAGAGTGAATTAGCAGAAATCTCCCAATCATTCTTAAAACCCATTGGTGGTTCCCCCCCTCCTGTCCTCCTAGAATATGGTGGAGTCGATATCATTGACTCGCAGTTAGAGGAGGAGAGCACAGACGATGTTATTAATGACGTAAAAACCGAGCACATGGTCCCTGCCACAGATCCAGTACCTGTCACCGGAAATATTGGACTAACGTTGAATGCAGCAGTGAATTCTTCGATCCCCAAAACATGTTACCTGGACGAGGCACATATTGTGAAAATTTTCTATCACTGGATAAAATGCTGCTTATATTCTAACGACAGTTCAATTCGTGAGGTGGACAAAAAGGAACTGTTTAACCTGGTGCGAGCCGTACATCCCGATTTATTAGAAGCTGATGAGAAATTCGATCCTCTGGAGTGTGGATTCCAGATCAGTAGGATTGTGAGAGACGGTGTCACCTTGTTGCACATATACATCAAAGAAGATGGTAGCAGGCTGTTTGAATTTCCATCGATTGATTCTGCAACAGCTCAACCTCACACTCTTCTTTTCGATTGTGGAGACCTAAATGGCGACTGCAATGGTATTTTTGGAGTTGGAGCCCTGCCTTATTGCAACGATCAATGTAATCCAAGGATTCGCTGGTATAGAAATGGTGAGCTTTATAAGCAAGGGAAATGTTATTTCTGGCTCGACGGTGTAGCTGTAGAGGATGAGTCAGCTGTGTGGAGCTGCACTTGGACCTGTCAGTCTGCCTCATCTGAAACTCCTCCATCTCCTCCCCCATCTCAGAACATCGAGTCTACAGATTCGGAGCCTCAACCAACTCGACTCAGAGTATCAACTGAGGAAGGGTCGAATGGGCAGATCATTCCTCAACCGACCAATGTCACAAACTCGGTTAAGACAGCCGATTGGTTTGATCGAGGAGTCGACTATGCCCTGATCGACGACCTCCAAAAAGTTATTGACAACAGCTCAACTCAGTCCTCTCCAAATCCCCAGCAGTCCCAGCCTTCCAGAGAAAAGAATTCAAATATCGAGTGAACTCCTGGGTATCGGAGATCGTGGGAGGATTTATAAAGGGACTTACGGAACGGCTACACCTGTCGCTATGAAAGTGATAACTCGATAAACTGACAGCTAAGTTCAACGGTTGTGACTGTCTCAAACGAGTCACTCACCCTGATATAATTACACCACTGGAGATGGTTCTGGTACCAAAATTTTTATACATCGTTATGCCTCTGTTATAACATTTCCCTTGCTTATAAAGCTCACCATTTCTATACCAGCGAATCCTTGGATTACATTGATCGTTGCAATAAGGCAGGGCTCCAACTCCAAAAATACCATTGCAGTCGCCATTTAGGTCTCCACAATCGAAAAGAAGAGTGTGAGGTTGAGCTGTTGCAGAATCAATCGATGGAAATTCAAACAGCCTGCTACCATCTTCTTTGATGTATATGTGCAACAAGGTGACACCGTCTCTCACAATCCTACTGATCTGGAATCCACACTCCAGAGGATCAAATTTCTCATCAGCTTCTAATAAATCGGGATGTTCGGCTCGCCCCAGGTTAAACAGTTCCTCTTTGTCTACCTCACGAATTGAAATTTCGTTAGAATATAAGCAGCATTTTATCCAGTGATAGAAAATTTTCACAATATGTGCCTCGTCCAGGTAACATGTTTTGGGGATCGAAGAATTCACTGCTGCATTCAACGTTAGTCCAATATTTCCGGTGACAGGTACTGGATCTGTGGCAGGGACCATGTGCTCGGTTTTTACGTCATTAATAACATCGTCTGTGCTCTCCTCCTCTAACTGCGAGTCAATGATATCGACTCCATCATATTCTAA